TCTCTTTTCAGTGTTGTTAGAGTTTGTTTTATGTATTTTGGAGCCCTGTCATTGGGTGCGTAGATGTTTATTATGGTTATGTCTTCATGATGGATCGTCAGTTTAATCATTGTATAGTGTCCTTCTTTGTCTTTTATGGTGGACTTTTTTTTAAAGTCTATTTTCTATTTTATCTCAGATTAGAATTGCCACTCCTGCTCTTTTTTGGTAGTTGTTAGCTTGATATATTTTTTCCAACCTTTGACTTTTAATAAATTCATGTTTTTGTTTCTAAGGTGTGTCTCTTGTAGACAGCATATTGATGGATCCAGTTTTCTTATCCATTCTGTCACTCTCCGTCTCTTTATGGGTGCATTGAGTCCATTTACATTCAAGTCATTATTGATAGATGTGAGTTTGTTGCTGTCATTTTGTAGTCCTTTTTTTTTTTTTTTTCTAATATTGCTTTTACTCTCCTGTGCCGAACTCATTTTGTTTGTGGACTTTTTGTTCTATTTCTTTTGTTTTTTATCTTTTGTTTTTACTGAGACTTTGTTTTTCCTCTTTACTCTTATGAGTAGGTTTGTTAACTTTCTTTGTGGTTACTGTGAAATTTATCCTTATCTTTCTAAGTTTGAAGCAGTCTATTATTACTTGGTATCACCTTGCCTTCCTCTCCATTAGAAGGTTCTATACCTACACCATTTATTCTCTCTTTTATTGTTCTGATGTTGTTGCCACTTACAGATTAACTGCTCTGATTCCCTGTTGTATTTCTTTTGGTTTTGGATAGTCCTTGAGAGTTCATTTCTAGACTGGTATCTGGCTGGTACGATCCTGTGTCCTAGATTCAGCCTGTGAGCTGAACTTGTTTGTTCGTAGATCAAAGGACTCTCTTTAATAATTCTTGTAAGTTTGGTTTGGTTTTTACATATTCCCATAATTTCTGTTTATCTGGAAATGTCCTAATTTCACCATCATATTTGAATGAGAGTATTGCAGGATATATTATTCTTGGCTGACAATTGTTTTCTTCCAAGGTTTTATATATGTTGTCCCATTGCCTTCTTGCCTGCATGGTTTCTGCTGAATAAACCAAGCTTAGTCTTATTGTTTCTCCTCTGTATGTGACTTCTTGTTTTTCTCAAGCTGCTCTTGGGATTCTTTGTCTTTGGTTTTGGCAAGTGTTATTATGATATGTCTTGGTGATTTTCTTTGGGAGTCTATCCTATATGGGGTTCGTTGAGCTTCTTGGATGGCCAGCTTTTCATCTTTCATGATATTGGGGAAGTTTTCTGTCAGTAGTTCTTCAATGATCTTCTTTGTGTTTTCTGTTTTCTCCCCCTGTTCTGGAACACCGATTACTCCAGAATTTTTGCTTTTGATTGTATCCCACATAATTCTCAAGGTCTCTTCATTTTTCTTTGTTCTTTTTTTCTGAGTTTTTCTCAAACAGAGTTGTATCCAAGTGTTTGTCTTCAGTTTCACTGATCCTGTCTTCCACTGTTTCAAACCTGCTCCTCAGCCCTTCTATGACACTGTTCATTTCTGAAATCTTGTTGTTTATCTTTTGGATTTCTAATTGATTTTTTTGTATGATTTCTAGTTGTGAATTTATTTTGGCATTTTGTTTCTGCATTATTTTCCTGAATTCTTGCACTTTTTTGTCCGCATTTTCCATGAATTTGTCTGCCTTTTCCATGAATTTGTCTAGTTTTTCCTTATTTTTGTCTGCTTTTTGTTTCAACTCGTAGATAATTCTGAGTATTAGATATTTGAATTCCCTGTCAGGTAGTTCTATTGCCTTTTCTTCTACTGAAAAGTCACCTGGTGTTTTATTTTTGACACCTACTAGAACTATCCTGTCCTGTTTTTGTAATTGTTTTGATATTGTCTGCTGTCTTCAGGGCATTCTGTAGTTATTTTTCTTGTTTACTGATTGTAGATTTGTTTGTTTCTTCTTTTTGTTTGTTTTATTTTGCTATGTCTGAGCAGGCGGGCTGTGTATTCTTTGTTTTTTGCTCTCCGTGGGCACGTTTCTTTCTGCCTCCTTCTCCAGTTGGCAGGGTCAGTCACTCAGATATGGTACAGCAGGGCAGGTCTAGGTTAACAGGAGTTGTTGAAATGGGTTGTTTGTGGCACTTACTACAGCCACCAGGGCGGGAGGGTAATCAGTGCAGGGCAGGTTCTGGTAGGCTGTGCCTGTGCTGCTTGGTGGTGTGATGTTGAGTGTACGGTGCAGGTAGGCAGGATGGAGGTGGGAGATTGTGATGTGTGGAGCTAAGATGGATATGGGAGAGAGGAGAGAGGAACAGGAGCCAAAAACATACAAACAAAAAAGAGTCTTAGGTATCTTGCCATTGGAGTGGAGAGATGAGAGACTATGAAATGGAGAAAAACAAAAAGCAGAAGAAGAAGAAAAAAATAGAAAACAATGAATAAACAAAAATTAGAAAGAAAAAAAAGAAAAGCTCCCAGAGATCCCACCGGTGTGGCTACAAGTCTGGGGAAGTTGTTGCCAGGCGTTGTAGTACAGCCTTGCCAGAAGGTGTAGAGGTGTCACTCAGCACCAGGTATTCAGGGGACAGGAAGAGAAGGAAGTTATAGAGAGAAGAAAAACTGAGTAATGAAGAAAGACAAAAAGGGAAAAAGAGGGAATAGAAAACAAAAATAATTAAAAAAAGAAAAGCCCTCAAAAAAAAAAAAACAGAAAAAAATGAAAAAAGAAATGCCCTCAGGGATCCCTCTGCATTTCTGTGCAAACTGAAGGGGTAGGTCCCAAGCCGCGCAGTATTGCCCAGCTAGAATGGGCTCCCAATTTGAGAAAAGAAAAAGAAAACAAACAAACAATTCAAAACAAACAAAAAGCCCCGGGATCCCACCAGCGTGCCAGGAAGCAATTTCACAGTCGAGCGGAGTTTCACAGCCTTTCAGGAAGAAGCAAAGATGGCGTACTGAGCCAGGTATTTGAGAGAAAGGAGGAGGAGGTGGTGAGAGGTAAGGAAGAAATAAAAAAGAAGCAGAAAAAAGCAACACCAGCACCCAACAAAGGGCACTCAGGGAGTTGGCTGGTGCCAGCGAGTGGAATCCAAGCAGCCAGTGCTTCTTGGCCAAGAGAATGTGGCCGCGGGAAGCAGAGGAGGCCGAGTGGGGATGAAGAAGGGTGGGGGGTGGGAAAGCATATATCGCTGTTTACTCGTTGTTCTGTCTCCTGCTGGAAGCTCCATGAAGCTGCTTTCTCATACCCCCTTTTTGCTGGTCTCTGACAGGAGTCCAAGATGGCGGATCCACCCTGCATTAGCTGATAGGGAACCTCTGCATGAATCTCTCCTTGCTCTCCATTCTCTGTCAGTTTCTCACTCCATTTGGTGCTTGGCTGATTTCTTTATCTCTTCATTTGATGCTTAGGGTTTCAGGATTTCTGTTTTCTCTGTTTAGCTTAGTTTTTTGGATCTTTGCTGTGGGGGGATGGCGTGGTGCTTCTGCCTAGAGCGTCATGTTGCCTGGAAGTCTCTGGGAAAAATTTTTTGTCTTGTATCACAAAGGTTTAGTATCCTTAATATAAAGTCAGTTTCCAAAAATAAGGAAGAAAAGACCACCAACAATCCCATGTGAACATGCTAGAGAAATGAATAAACTGTTCAAAGAAAAAAGTGACTCTTAACCCCACTTAGAAAAGAGAAATTCAAATGAAAGCTATACTGAGGTATCACCTCATTTATCAGTGGCAAAAATGTAAAAGTTTCACATAATACTATGTTAGTGCAGCTGTGCAGAAACTGGTACTCTCATGTTATTGCTAGAAAAGCATGATTCAACCCCCACTGAGGAGGATTTGGCAATACACCCACTCCTCACTCATTGGCACGGTTATGCTTCAAAGATCAGGTTCTTATGTGAAAATCCATGTTATGTGAAAATGGAGGATGGTCACATCAGATCACAAAAATGGAAGATGATTACATAACTGCCAAATTACATTATTACATAACTGCCAAATCACTGAGAATCATGGCCCAGCCAAGTTGACACATAACCTTAACCACCACAGCCAGCATTAGTCTTGTCTCACACCTCAGCATTATTTACTTCCAGATATATGTTGTTAATGTGCAAAATAGTCAGATAGTAAATTTTTTACTATTGTCGTAATATGAAATGTCAGGTAACGAGATGGTCAGTAAAAGAACAGTAGGTGAGGAGTAGGTGTATAACAAAACTGTATATCATTGACTCTTTGACACAAAATCCAACTTCTTAAAAATCTATTCCAAAGATAGATTGGCTAAAATGTGAAGACACAGGACCATTTGTTGCAGCACTGGAAACTTTTAACATACTTCTAAATTCAAATGTCTATGAAAATTCATAATAAAAGTAACATAATATTTAGAAATAAATGATAATGAAAGCTACTTTCAAATTAAAAGCTGTGAGATGCAGAAAAAAGCATTACTTTCAGGGAAATGTATAGCCTTAGATATTTACATTAGAAAATAAGAGAGGCTGAAAATTAATGAACTTTCCAGCTTAAGTTAGAAAAACAGCAACAGAATAAATCCAAACAAACTAAATGGAAGTGTATACAGAGAAGAATAATTAATGAAATAGAAAATAAGGATAATACTTGCAATA